GACCGGACGCTCGTGCACAGACGGCAAACACTGCATATTTGCGTGGCCGCTGTGAGCCTTTGTTAGCCATAAGAATATTCCATTGTGTCAGTCTATTTTGAAGTCTTGAATAAAGAGCACAAGCTCTGACAATATTAAACTCCGGCTACTGCCGTTAAAGAACTTATTATTTTCATACTCTCTGAGTCTCTAGGCCAGCAGGTAAAGAAGGGCAGTCACCCTTCCAACATAAAATTCCTAATCTTCAGTGAATAGGAATAGCCAGCCGGCTCATCAAGAATCCGGCTTAACCCGGATAATACCCCAACATCCAGTACTTGCGATTCCCCTGGACCTAGAACCCTTGGCCCATAGGAAGTGGGACCGCTGCCAGACTGTTGGCTTTTGTATACTAGTGACTGCTGCGTGGGACCTGCCCGCCAGCTGACTCGCACCAAATAATTAATTTATATATTCTTGATCAGGAGCACTAGCCGAGTCAATCTAGCAATGTCCGTCTGTCTGTCCGTCCGTATGAACGCTGAGATCTCGGAAACTATAAGAGCTAGGCTATTGGGACTTGGCGTGCAAATTTCTGAGCTTCTTACGCAGCGCAAGTTTGTTTCAGCAGCGTGCCACGCCCACTCTTTCGCCCACGAACTGTGGTTCCTACAATTTTGATGCTAGAATAAAAATTTTATCTGAAATGTATTTTTCTCATCAATACCTATCGATTGATCCAAAAAAAGTTTGCCACGCACACTTTAACGCCCACAAACTTCAAAAAATCGTAAATATGAACGTGGATATTTCGGAAACTATAAAAGATAGAGAATTGGGATCTCAGATTTAGATTCCGTAGCCTCGTACGCAGCGCACGATTGTTACGCGAATATGCCATGCCCACTCTAACGCCCACAAACCGCCTAAGCCTGTGACGCCCACAATTTTCATGCTAGATAAAAAGTGTTAACGGAAATGCATGAGACTCGTCAATACCTATCGATTGATCCCAAAATCTTATACTGTTGTGATTATAATTTTTTATATTTTTAAATTTAATAATTATAACTGCAAGGCTATACAAACTTCGGCTTGCCGAAGTTAACTTCCTTTCTTTTTTTTTAATTTTGTCCAGGTCGTTTGCTTGACTCTGGAATCGATAGGTATTAACAGGACTAACACATTTCAGTTAACATTTTTATCTAGCATGAAAATTGTGGACGCCACAGGCTTAGGCGGTTTGTGGGCGTTAGAGTGGGCGTGGCAAAAATTTTTTTTATCAATCGATAGGTATGACCAACAATAACAATTTTTAAATTTAATAATTATAACTGCAAGGGTATACAAACTTTTTAAATTTAATATATATCTGCAAGAGTACACAAACTTCGGCTTGCCGAAGTTAGCTTCCTTTCTTGTTTAACATATAACCTCCTACGCTTGGAAATAACATTTCTTAGTTGGTTCTGAATTTCGAGTTTAATTTTATCAAAATCGGACGATTACATAAAATTGCTGCCATAGGAACGATCAGAAAATTGGTGGGAAAATAATATTAAACAACTTATAGCCTCGGTGTTTTTTGACATATTATCTTATACTATTGGGAGTAATTTAATAATTATAACTGCAAGGGTATACAAACTTCGGCTTGCCGAGGTTAACTTCCTTTCTTGTTTTTTTAATTTTGTCCAGGTCGTTTGCTTGACTCTGGAATCTCTTCTTTAAACACCTATTGTGTAATTTATAGACTTTTAGGAAAACACTTGCTGACATAATAATTATACTTATTATTAATTGCATTGGCATTGTTTCTAAATCAACATTTTGAGATTCTACTTTATTAACGACGTTCGCCGTTGAATCGACAACTTTTGTGTCTACAAAAACCATCTTGGGAATATTTTCCAAAATGCAATATTTTTTGCCACGTATATGTGGCGAATTATTATTTTGAATTTCGTTTACTTTATTTATACTGTTATTCATATAGAAAAACAAGGGAGAAAGCTATAGTCGAGTACCTCGACTATCAGATACCCATTACTCAGCTAAAGGGACCAAAGAGGAAAGTAGATATGCAAGCAGTAAAGCGAGATTGAAATGCCTAACCTACCCGCGATCTCAATATATGGATATGTGGGCGGTAGACAAATTTAGGAGTTATGGGCGTTAGAGTGGGTGTGGCAAACTTGTTTTGGGGTCTATAGATAGTTATTGACGAGACTAATACATTTCAGTTTACATTTTTTTCAAGCATGAAATTTGTGGGCGCCACAGGCTTACGCGGTTTGTGGGCATTAGAGTGGGCGTCGAGTACCTCGACTATCAGATACCCGTTACTCAGCTAAAGGGACCAAAAGGAAATGGAGATATGCAAGCAGCAAAGCGAGATTAAAATGCGCCACCTACCGGCGGTAGACAAATTTAAGCGTTGTGGGCGTTAGAGTGGGCGTGGAAATTTTTTTTGGATCAATCGATAGGTATTAACAAGACTAATACATTTCAGTTAAAATTTTTTATCTAGCGTAAAAATTGTGGGCACCAAAGATTTGGGCGGTTTGTGGGCGTTAAAGTAGGCGTGGTATCTACGCGTAACAAACTTGCGCTGCGTACAAGGCTACGGAATCTAAATCTAAAATCCCAATTCTCTATCTTCTATAGTTTCTGAGATATCCGCGTTCATATTTACGATGTTTTGAAGTTTTTGGGCGGTTTGTGGGCGTTAAAGTGGGTGTGGCAAACTTTTTTTAGGTTAATCGATAGGTATTGATGAGGACAATACATTTCAGTTAAAATTTTTATTCTTGCATCCGTTTGTGGGAGTTAGAATGGGCGTGGCACATTGCTGAAACAAACTTGCGCTGCGTAAGAGGCTCAGGAATCCGCATGCCAAATCTCAATAGCCTTGCTCTTATAGTTTCCGAGATCTCAACGGTTATCCGGACGGACGGACAGACGTACATGGCTAGATCGACTCGGGTAGTGATCCTGATCAAGAATTATATACTTTATGGGAAACGCTTCCTTCTGCCTGTTACATACTTTCTGTCGAATATTGTATACTTTTACACTACGAGTAACGGATATAAATATATTTGAGGAATATATGAATTGATTAGCAGCACTGGAACATCTACTGGAATAGTTTAAAGTTTACAATTGTGGGCAAGGGAAACTGAAATAATGTCGAGCACAACAAACGGAATTTTAATACACATATCTTCAATTCCGTTGCGTCGGATTAATAACTTTTGGATTTAGACAATATATCATTCAGAAACTTAGTCGAAATAGGTTTCGAAAAACTAAATATAAAGCGGTTCGAGCCACCGTTGCTGGTGGGAAAAATCCAAGGAAACTCCAGGAGAGGAAAACCCAAAGATAATGAAATCCGGCTTCGACTTGACAAAAATTTTAGAGCGGGGGTGGCTTGATCGCTGTAATTATACGAAATCCCAAGAACGGAGGATACTTTCGGGTTTTTACGCGACGTTCGTGTGTGTTTTTCTACCCTTGGAAAATATAACTGCTTAAGCCTAGCTTAACTTAAGCGCTCCAGAGCAAAGCGGAGACATAGAGGACAGTTGGAAAGGGTGTGGGATGTATACATCTGGAAAAATCTACCGCTCGACACTGCCTCCAGAAATTTCACGCCCTTCTGGTGTGAAAAATAATATTTATGATGGGTTACTTCAACATTAATTACAAATTCATATTTTATATAATTAACTGATTAGGATTTAATTTTTGTTGTGACTTTCGTTCCCCTTTTACTTTGCAAATCTAAATTGCTGTTGCACCAATAAAAAGAATCACCCTTTGCTAAACGGGTTTAATATGAATGACGAGGACTTCACATAGTTATATAACTGAGCAATTGTACACTGCGTTGTCTCCTTGACTATTGGTGGCATGGGCACTAAGCCATGTGAAGGACTTCCGAGAATTACCCTATAAACTCATTATCTTATCAGAAACGGGCGTTTCACCACTCAATAAATGTAAAACTTAATTGGTTTAACCGACAGCATCTGGGTAGTTTAGTATTTTGGAGTGGAACCTAGTTGAAGGTGTCTTCCGGAGTCGACGTTGGTCGACGTGTAATTTTCGGCTGTACACGAGCCAAGTAGTTTTTTCGAGGCTTTGAGGACCGACTGCGCAAAACTACTTTGGTTGGCATTTGTGTTCATAAAGATTTCTCGCTTTAGAACCAATGCTCTTAATTAAACAACTGTTCTTGTTGACTCACACAGTATTTTTGTTGAATGTCTGAAGGCGTCTTCGGACAACAGTTTATCGGCTAACGCAGAGTTGAACCCATAAAAGTCATCGAAGGACTCACTAGGTCGCTGTTTGCATTGCTCAATCTCTGATCGTATATTCCGGACTCAATAGATCGCTGCTTGCGATGTTCGATCTCTGATCGTATATTCGGAGCGGTCCTTAAATTCTTAAACTGAGCTTTTAGAGCCATACAAAGCTTGTTTCTTTTCTTTGTAGCTTGTAGCTTTCTTTTTAATTTCTCAAATACGGTCTAACAATTTCGGTTTCTACTTTAAAGTGTACAGCCCCTGTACACTAAAACAAATTGTTTTAAAAAATCATGTTTTTCAGTTTTTAATCAACAAAAATGGCCACATATACCAGTTAAGAATATCTAACGCTGCCTGAGCATTGAACTCTGTTTACAGGTTCTCGATATTTTAGAGGTCTTTAAACAGTTTAATAAAAGTATCTTTGGTTCTACCAACATTCGAAAAACTATTTAGTTTGGTGGAAAAACAGCTACAAATAGCTTAGTGTCGTACGCTCGTATCTTGTGCAGTGGAAAAAGTGTCTTAACAATTGGTTTGAGCGCATCCAGAAGTGTATAAATCTTGCTGCAGAATACATTGAAAAACAAAAAAAAACATTTTTGATGGTAGATAGTCGCATTTTTATTATTAGGCCAAAAATATATATATCACCCCTATGTAAAATATAAATTATATAGTATATATAATGATTTATTTCAGTTTCTCCAACAATTAAAGCAATTAATCAGTTGGTTGGAGCACCCGTGGAAAGAGAAGTAACATTGGAATGTGTTGTGGAAGTTTATCCCAAGCCACTTAATGGGTGGTACCGTAACGAAGGTAAATAAAGGGTTCTTGTTGTTATCACTTGGAACTAAATAATAACATTTTCAGACAATTTAAAAATACACAACGGGAACAAATATAATATTTCAGAGGAAATGATTAACTTGTACACATGGCATCTCAACCTTACTATAAGACACCTGACTAAATCGGACTTTGGAACTTATAGTTGTTCAAGTGTTAATGGGCAAGGCAAGAGTGAATCACGCATAAGATTGCAAGGTAAAACAACAATTTTTTTTAAATTTATATCAATAAGACAGCGTTGAACTTAAATTGTAAGAATTCATATATTTCCCTACCATGTGAGAGTAAGCTTTAAGTCCTTTAAAAAACTATGCTATCAATTGTTAATGAATAAAACAAGAAGAAACGCTTCAAGAAAGAAACGCTGGTAAACATTAAAAAAGTGTTTCGAAAACATACTTCTAACAGCTATTTTTACCGATTTGTCTATTGACACAGGAAAAATAATAAAACACATTGTTATTCCTGAAGTTTTTTTGTAATTGCATTGAACACTAGTCGGATTGTAAACTGTAATTTGTTTTTTAATAAGTCAAAAATGTTTTTCAATGTGAGGCTTAAAAATATGGATTTTTTCGAGTTTCTTTTTATTTTATCAATGTTGTAGATGGATAAGAATTTTGGATTGCCCATTTTCAAAAAATGTACATCATCTTTTCTTTTTCTGACGAGAAAATGAAAGTATTTTGTTACGTACGCCCTTCACATAGAAAGATTCACATAGAGAAACAACGACGAATCTTTAACCAGGGGGAGGGGTGCATGTGACTAACCAGACTCATACTGGTAAAGGTAAAGGTAAAAAAGAATTCGGCAATTCGCTGGTGTCGCGTGGCCAGAACAACCGCCACTATCGACCTATTGGTAACCATACTCCGGGAGCTGGCAAAGGGCAACAGCCGGCCGTTGACTCCCAAGATAGCAGATATCAAGAAACAGTAATCCTAGGTGGGAACACCTAGTTTATCCGATCCATACCCGCAGCCAAGTAAAAGCTCTAGTCTGGTATAAAATACCTTAGGCAAATAGAGAAGCAGAGAGAATCCAGTTGGGTGTCTTGCTGACGGAAGCCGGCAGCTTCGAGGGAAGGCGACTTTCCCTGGGGCAGCCGTCCACAGAGTCTTCTGTCACCAGAACCAGCCACCATATCCAACAGTTCTTGAGGAGAACACAATTGCAGCTCGAAAGAATCGTATGTGTCGAACCAGCGCCGCCATTTTCATTAAAAAGCGTGGAGAGGATCAACAATAAGGACGACATCCGACATACTGCGATGTTTGTGGACGCAGTATCCGTGATCTCCATGCAGCTGAAATTTGTTCAGCTGTAGAAACCATCCGTTCAGAGCCGTATCGACCAATAGCATACGTCGGAGAAAGTAGTGATGTAATATAAATGTGTTAATCGAGCCAATCAAAGCTAAAGTGAACTCATGTATAACCAAGGACCAATGTCCCCAAATAATACATTTGGATAACAAGTAAAAATCAAAAAAACATTGGAAGCATTCAAACATTCATTGAAATATATTTAAACCAACCGAATCAATAGACAAAGTGCGAATCATGATGAACAATTAGAGAGGACGAATCTCTCCACCAGCCGTTGAAGAAGTTGCATGCCTGTGGCATAATATATATATATTTTGTGTTTAAGTGAATTGGTATACTTAAGAACAGAGTAGTAGGGAAACGCGGATTCTGGGACAATTAGCATATTAATGGCCCCCGCCCCTTACTAATTAGCATATTAGTGACCCCCGCCTCTTCATTAATGTATGCGGGTTCTGGGACAATTAGCATAAACCATAAATTTTCTGATTTTAAAAGGTTTAGATGCCATAAAAATGTCATGATCATATCCATAAAGAGTATAATAAATTGCCCCCCAACCCCACACCACCATGTGGCAATACTGATCACGTGACCTTTTTGCCTCATTATCAGCAATTAATATTCAGCAGGTGTTGGTGTACACGGGAGAAAGGTCGCACACTTTCCCCACATCCCCATGTGACAAGATTGATCATGTATCCTTTTCCTCATTATCAGCAATTAATATTCAGCAGGTGTTGCTGTGCACGTGAGAAAGGTCGCAAACCCAAAACATCTAAAGCTGGTTGCCTTAGAGGGACATGTCCGATCATGTTGGGGAATAACGTTTCCTATGATTGTAAAACTAATTTAGAAATCAAAAGAACCCCAAATAAAATAAATCCCACAAGTTAATGATTCTCAGATGTCATATATTTTCAAACAGACATTTTTTTTTTTCGCCCCAGAATGTTTAACTGGTAAATTTTTTCAAGATCTCTCCTTTCTACAAACGGGTCATAAACATATCATAAAAGGGATTCAAGCAAGAGCTACCCGAACATGCGCACCTGTCTATTACCTGACCGGAATAAAAGGGACACATGCACAAGTCTGAAGGCGCACGCCCATTGACAAAATCATGAGCCTCACGCCAACGACCTCACGGCTGAGTGCTAGCTCTAATACGTTCCCATAATAGGGGTTGAAATCACGACCGCGCAACAACTCGCAAGTAGCCGACATATCTCAGTCAAGGAAATATTTTCCATTCTCCGTACCTGTAATTTTAACTCGAAATAAAATGTCAGAAGTTTATTTTGTACCATAATAATACATTTATTCATTTATTTTGGTATTGCGAACATTTTTGTTATATATAGAAATTAATTTTCTGCTTTGATTCCGGCGATTCGCATAGAAGAAGCAGGCGCACGTTTCCGACATCATTTCTGGATTACAAAATGTAAAGTGTTCACCATAATTCGTAGTTTTGAGGTCATGTCCACCTCGATTCATGAACATAGTTTTTGTGTTTAGAAGGTATTGAAAATGCTGACCAATTATCTCTCCTTTAAATTGTTCAATAAATTGGTCAATATCCTGATGAAATTTCATATTGTTAATTTGTTTTATTGTAAATATGCAATTCGCTATTCCATGTGATCAGTTAGACTTCAAGCCGCCTAAAGACTGGCTTATAATAAGACCAAATAACCTAAAACATTCAATTTATGTTCCAATAGCATACAGTTCTGGCAACAACTCCCTGATTCTGCCAGCAACATGCCAAGTCGTCCGCAAAATCGAAATAAATTCAGAAGAAGACAGTGTATTAATTCCGAATCAAGAAATTCAGCATGGTATCTATATCGCAAATACCATAGCAACAGTCCAAAATGCATATATAAGATTACTAAATACTATAAACACAGATCAAGTAGTTTATATCAAAAACATTCATCATGAACCACTTTTAAACTACGAAAGTAGTAAAAACGGACTTAGAAACCAGACAAAAAATTGTATTATCCATACTTGCAAAAAACTTCCCGCCTCAATTCAATGAACAACAGTAGTAGGGAAACGCGGATTCTGGGACAATTAGCATATTAATGGCCCCCGCCCCCTTACTAATTAGCATATTAATGACCCCCGCCTCTCACTAATTAACATATTAATGCCCCCCGCCTCTTCATTAATGTATGCGGGTTCTGGGACAATTAGCATAATCCATAAATTATCTGATTTTTAAGGGGTTTAGATGCCATAAAAATGTCATGATCATATCCATAAAGAGTATAATAAATTGCCCCCCAACCTCACACCACCAAGTGACAATACTGATCACGTGACCTTTTTGCCTTATTATCAGCAATTAATATTCAGCAGGTGTTGCTGTACACGGGAGAAAGGTCGCACACTTTTCCCACATCCCCATTTGACAATATTGATAATGTATCTTATTCCTCATTATCAGCAATTAATATTCAGCAGGTGTTGCTGTGCACGTGAGAAAGGTCGCAAACCCAAAACATCTAAAGCTGGTTGCCTTAGAGGGACATGTCCGATCATGTTGGGGAATAACGTTTCCTATGATTGTAAAACTAATTTAGAAATCAAAACAACCCCAATAAAATAAATCCCACAAGTTAATGATTCTCAGATGTCAAATATTTTCAAACAGACATTTTTTTTCGCCCCAGAATGTTTAACTGGTAAATTTTCCAAGATCTCTCCTTTCTACAAACGGGTCATAAACATATCATAAAAGGGATTCAAGCAAGAGCTACCCGAACATGCGCACCTGTCTATTACCTGACCGGAATAAAAGGGACACATGCACAAGTCTGAAGGCGCACGCCCATTGACTAAATCATGAGCCTCACGTTCCCATAATAGGGGTTGAAATCACGACCGCGCAACAACTCGCCAGTAGCCGACATATCTCAGTCAAGGAAATATTTTCCATTCTCCGTACCTGTAATTTTAACTTGAAATAAAAAGTCAGAAGTTTATTTTGTAGAATAATAATACATTTATTCATTTATTTTGGTATTGCGAACATTTTTTTTATATATAGAAATTAATTTTCTGCTATGATTCCGGCGATTTGCATAGAAGAAGCAGGCGCACGTGTCATTTCTGGATTACAAAATGTAAAGTGTTCAAATGTAAAGTAGTTCTCACAATGTAATCTTTCTCAGATGCTGAATTATTTTTAAAGCATTCATTTGTTCCATCCCATAATAATATTGTAACATATTTCGAAGGCATCATTAGCTAGCATAGGAGCGCCTATCAATTTAATTTCTGATTCAAGTTTATGATAGAGGTGTTGGGACCTGGTAATATCGGTTTTTGTTGTCAACTATTTTTCTAGTTCTAGTTTTCTAATTCTATTCTATTTGTATACTATTTGTATGAGTAAGGCATCATTGTCTAAGATTCTGAATAAGTTTAATAAACTCTTTAATTACAATACTGATTAGCTGGTTACTATATATTTAGTAGATGTATAAAAGTTGTTTAGTATCTGGGTTCTATACGTTTAATAGATGTATACAAGTTGTTTACTAGATGTATACAATTTGTTTACTAGCTGTTTAGTATCTGGCTACTATATATTTAGTAGATGTATACAAGTTGTTTAGTATCTGGTTACTATATATTTAGTAGATGTATACAAGTTGTTTAGTATCTGGTTTCTATATGTTTAATAGATGTATACAAGTTGTTTACTAGATGTATACAAGTTGTTTACTAGCTGTTTAGTATCTGGTTACTATATATTTAGTAGATGTATACAAGTTGTTTAGTTCTGGTTACAATATATTTAGTAGATGTATGCAAGTTGTTTAGTATCTATGTTTAGTAGATGTA